TGGCTTCTAGATTTAAACCCCTAGTTCTTGCCTCTTTGCCAAGCCCCAGACTTTTATGTACAATTTGATATCTCCACTTGATATCAAATAGTCTTAGTCCATTTTGTGTTGCTACAACAGAATACCACAGACTGAGTAATTTATAAAGAAAAGAGATTTATTTCTCATAGTTTTGGAGGCTGGGAAGTCCACGGTCAAGGGACTCCCAGCTGGCAAGGGCCTTCTTGATGCATCATCCCCTGGTAGAAGGTGGAAGAGCAATAAAGAAACTCATTTCTGCCACATTGCCATGAATGAAGCTCTGCCCTCATGACCTAATCACTTTTTAAAGGTCCCACCTATCAATATTTGCATTGGGGATTAAGTTTCCAACACATGAGCTTTGGGGGACCTGGTCAAACCATAGCATTCCGCCCCTGGCACCCAAATTCATGTCATACATTCTTTCCATCTTCATAGTCTCAAGGTCTTAACTTGTTCCAGCATCAACTCAGAAGTCCGAGGTCTCATCTAAATCAGAAATGGGTGAGCCTCAAGGCATGATTCCTCCTGAGACAAATTCCCCTCTAGCTGTAAGCCTGTGAAATTAAACAAGTTACAGTCCTCCCTTGGTATCTGCAGGATATTGGTTCTGGGACCCTCTCAAATACCAAAATCTGCTAATGTTCAAGTCCCCTGTAGAAAATGGTATAGAATTCACATAAAACCTGTGTACATCCTACATCCTCTTGTATACTTTAAATCATTTCTAGATTGCTTATAATAACGAATACAGTGTAAATGCTATGTAAATAGTTGTTATACTACATTTTAAAATTTGTATTATTTTTTGTTGTTTTCTTTTTCAGTTATTTTCAATCCTTGGTTGGTTAAATCTGCAGATATGGAGCACTGACTATATTATTTGTACTTCATTTACTTCCAAAATACAATGGTGGTACAGACATTCCCCTTCTAAAAGGGGGAAATAGGCAAGATAAAAGTAATAGGACTCAAGTAAATCCAAAACTCAACAGGGAAAATAACATTAAGTCTTAAAGATGGAGGATAATCTTTGATTCCATATCCTGCATCCTGGACTGGCAGAAGCAGGGGTTGGGCCTTCAAGGCCTCAGGCAGCCCACCCCTATGGCTTTGCTGGGCTCAGTTCACTCAGCACCTCTCATGGATTGGAGTTGCATGCCTGCAACTCTGGACTCCTAGGACTAGGAGTCTCTCTCCTGGACTCCTAGGTTGCAGGCTGGTGGTCCTACAGTTCTGGGGTCTCTGAGCTGGCCTTATACCCATGACTTCCCTAGTAATTTCCCTAGTAGGGGCTCTCTACAATGGCTCTGCCCCTGCGATAAGTGAGCTCTGCCTGGGCTCCCAGGGTATCCATGAAATCCTTTTAAATCTAAGTGGAGGCTGCCATAGCCCCGCAGCTTTTGCATTCTGTATGTCTACAGAGTTAGCACCATGCGAATGCCACCAAGGCTTGTGCTCATGCCCTCTGTAGCAGCAACCCAAGTCACACCCAGGCCCACTGGAACCATGGCTAGGTCAGCCAAGGAGCGCTGCATTCAGGGCAGTGGAGTCACTAGGCAGAGCTCCTGAGGGTACCTCTCTGGAAACCTTGCCCTCCAAGGCCCTGCTCTGGGCCTATAATGGGAAGGGCAGCTTCCCAAGGATCTCCAAAATGCCTTTGGGATCTTTCTCCCCATGTTCTTGATGAATAGCACCTGGCTCCATTCTCTTCCTACTAATCTCTTTAGCAAGTGGTTACTTGGCCACACCCTTGGATTGCTTTCCTAAACATGCCTTTTCACTCCTTATATGGCCAGCCTGCACATTTTCCAAATCATTCCATTCTGCTTTCCTTTTAATTATAAATTCCTTCTTTAAATAATTTCTCCCTGCTCACATCTTATTATTTGCAGTTAAAAGTAGCCATGCAGCTCCTTCAGTAGAAGTGTCTTCCACCAAATATCCTAGTCTACCACTCTTAAATTCACCTTCCATAAAGCCGTAGGGCATGGGCGCAAGTCAGCCAAGGTCTTTGCCAGTTTGTATTAATAACAAGGATGGCCTTTACTCTAGTTTCCAATACCGCTTCCTCATTCCTCTCTGAGACCTCATCCGAATTGCCCTTACTGTCTGTACTTCTACCAACATTCTTGTCACAACCACTAAGCCATCTCTGAGAAGTTCCAGACTTTCCCTACATTTCTCCTTTTCTGCTGAGCCCTCACCAGAATTGCCCTTACTGCTCTGTTCACAGCGATATGGGCTTTTTCTAGCATTCGCTTCAAAACTGTTCCAGCCCCTACCCCTTACCCAGTTCTAAAGCCCTATTTTCAGGTATTTGATCTGGCAATAGCTATAGTTTTGTGTTGCTATAACAGAATAGCACAGAGTAATTTATTTTAAAAATAAAAGAGATTTATTTCTTATAGTTCTGGTGCCTGGGAAATCCAAGATTGAGGGGGCCCACATCTGGCAAGGGTCTTGCTGTGGCATACCATGGCAGAAGGTGGAAGGGCAAGAACGTACATACATGCTTCAGAAAGGGGCCAAACTAATTCTTTTATCAGGTTCCCACTCCACAGATAATGCCATTAATCTATTCATGAGGGCAAAGCCCTCCTGACTGAATCACCTCTTAAAGGTCCCACCTGTTAACACTATTGCATTAAGGATTCAGTTTCTGACACATGAACTTTGGGGGACATATTCACACCATAGCTCAGGCTGTGCGCTGTTAATAAATTGCAAACAAAACTCTTGATTTCTAGCCTTGCTGCTACCACCACCACACACACCTGCCTGTCAGGCCCGTCCTTCTCCTGTCTTCCCTAGCTCCGTAAATGGAACCAGTCACTGGCTTTTCAAACCAAAACCTAGGAGTAATCTTTGATTTTTCCCTCTCTCTCATAACTCACATGCAGCCTGTGTATTAGTCCTGTGGGTTATACCTTCCTATAAATCCCGAATCTCTCCACTACTTCCTGTCACCACTGGCTACCTGGCTTAGACTTCCATCATCTCTCATGTATATAAACGCAACAGCAGCAGCTTCTTCTTCTTCCTTCTTCCTCTTCCTTCTTCTTCTTCGCTCAGGCTGGTCTCGAACTCCTAGTCTCAAGCAGTCCTCTCTCAGCCTCCTAAAGTGCCGGAATTACAGATGTGAGCCATGCCAGACCTGCAGCAGCTTTTTAACAGATCTTTCACTCCTGCCTCTATCCAGTCCTCTCGACACAGTAGCCAGGGAAGTCTTTTATGTGTGTAAATTATGTGCCAGTTCCTTGTTTAAAACTCTTCACTTCTCATTGCACTGAGACCAGAATCCCCATGCTTGCTTATACCAGGCCTTTGAGACCCTCCATGCTCTGGTTCCTGCCTCCCTCTCCAAATTATTTTATAACACTTCCCACTGTGATACTACACTGTCATCTACTGTCTTTCTTTTTGGTCCTCCAAAACACCAAGGTCTTTTCTGTATCAGAGTCGTTGCATGGCTATTCTCTCTGCTTGAAATTCTCTTACTCCAGATCTGGACATCCTGACTTTTCCTCATCCTGCAGGTACCAGTTCATATGCTGTATTTCAAGAGACCTTCTGTAACTACCATCTCCCTTCTTCTCAATCACTCTGCGTAATTCCTTCACCACACCTGTCTCACTCAGGAAATTTCTTGTTTCTTTATTTAATTGCTTTTCCGGGATCTCCTCCCCTGACTTCTCAAAGTAGCAAGTTCCTTGAGGACAGAGAGCCCATACCTGTCTTGTCTACCATTGGATTCCCAGTGCTTAGCATAGTACCTGGTAATGGGAGGGCTTCAGTAAATAAATACCTGTTGAATGACTGAAGGAGCAAATTAAGGAAATGCTGACTAATGTGGCTGGGGCCATAACTGCCACTGGCATTCCGAGTAGCAGTTTGGCTATAGGTAGTCTTCTGTCACTGCATAGTAAAGTATATATGTTCCACATGTGTGGCTGGCAAGCACCCTCACAGCTCCTCTCATATTGCATCCCCTGGTTGCAGAAGATACTGCGAGTTGTAATACTTTTAATGTATAGCATCTATCTTTGTAGGTTTTTATTTCAGTGGAAACATTTGGCTCACCATTAGCTTTAAGTATTTCTTTCTAGCCTCATTTCATTGGTTTCTAAATGAGGTACTATAAATGTCTTTAAGATTTGTCACACTTATAGAGTACTTATGCACAGCCCTGATTTTTTTTGAGAGCACAATCTTCTGAAATTTGCAAATTCAGAGCTTCCCTTATCCACCACTTAAAGCCACCTCTGTCTCTCTGTAGGTTTGGAAGGTTACTGCTCATGTGTGCACACACATGTGTACACACAGATGTGCATGCCCTGCTTATTTGTTTTCATCAGTAACACATGTGGCAATCACTGAGATAGAGGAAACTCATTTAGTTTTTAAATTAAAACTTTATGATCGGCTGGGCGCGGTGGCTCACGCCTGTAATCCTAGCACTCTGGGAGGCCGAGGCAGGCGGATTGCTCGAGGTCAGGAGTTCAAAACCAGCCTGAGCAAGAGCGAGACCCCGTCTCTACTATAAATAGAAAGAAATTAATTCGCCAACTAATATATATAGAAAAAATCAGCCGGACATAGTGGTGCATGCCTGTAGTCCCAGCTACTCGGGAGGCTGAGGCAGAAGGATTGCCTGAGCCCAGGAGACTGAGGTTGCTATGAGCTAGGCTGACGCCACGGCACTCACTCTAGCCAGGGCAACAGAGTGAGACTCTGTCTCAAAAAAAAAAACAAAAAAAAAACTTTATGATGCAGATTGGTGAGAGTCCCGAATATCTGCTTGTATCCAAATGCTGGACTCTGTATGTCTCTACTACTACAGAAAAGTTGTTGGCGTAAGTACAATGAATCAAGAGAGCTTTATGGTAATTTTCTTTTGCGACTGGAATTGATTACAGTGTAGTGACTGGTGCTATCTTGAATTGCTTTTTGTTTTTCATTTGTTTCTCTCATTCTAGGCACTTGAAGAAGCTCAAAAAGCTATTCAGCAACTCTTCGGCAAAATCAAAGATATCAAAGACAAAGCAGACAAATCAGAGCAGATGGTGAGTTTAGGTTTCTTCCCAACTCTTTTGCACCAAAAGAGGAAGTTAGCTCTCATCCAGTCATGCTAATTAGTGGGCTTTTTTCTCCCACTTCTTGCCAACCAGTCGTCCACATCTCTAAAGCAAGCCCCTGTGAATACATTCCAGATTGATTCAGGGGGTGCTGCTAGACAGTAGTGACTCACCATCCCTGCCGCCTGCCCTACATTTGCAGCCCTGTTTTTAAATAGGAAAAGTTTTCTTTCTCTCCTTCCCCCAAAATAGTTTCCTAGTCATTTTGGATTTATTTCTCTAGCATTTGTTTATATCATGTATTTCTCAATTAAGATATACGATGTGTAACTTGGTAGCACACACTGAAACTGGCCCTGGGTCTGGGAAGTGGGATGTCTCCTGCCCACGATCCATGTGTGTAGTTTTAAGTTCTCTCTCTACAAATTTGTGTCCACCAGTGATATATTCAAAAGGCCCCTCTGTGGACCAGGAATGCAGCATTCACCCACTGGTACTCTGTGGGAGGCACTGGGAAGTGCTGGCCCCTGGGTTCAAATTCTGACTAAGTAATGTAATGTCTCTAAATCGTCTGTGATTCTGGTTTCTTCAACTATAAAATAAGAATGATAGCATCTACCTCACAGGGTTGCTGTGAGAATTAAATGACTGAGGGGCACTGAGCATGGAACTAGGGATTTGGGTTTGTGGGCCTTCCCCAAGTATGCACCGCACTCAGCACCACCCAGTGGCCCTTGAAGTGCAATTGTCAGGTGACACTATCAGATGCTGCTTTTGCTAGAGTTTATTGCACTTGGCTTTCTTATGCATCGATATCCTTACGATCGTAATCTGCTGTTCCGGGCTATGCTCCCTCTTGCATCCAAGGGGGAGTGTGGTGACAATTTGAGTAAGCTGCTTCTAAAGTTACGAGATGTCTTATTTTAAAGCAGTTTATTTTCCTGGCCAGTGCTTTGCTAAAGGGAAGAAGAAGTAGGGGCGAGGGGAGAGCTGCTATTTTATTGACCTCATAAGTGCCAAGCACTATGCCACTTCCTTTATACAAGCGATCTAACTTGTTTAGATAGCCTCATGACAACCTTATGGACTAGGTTTTGTTGTCATTATTATTTTTATGATTACCAGTTTTATAGATGGGAAACAGACTCAGTGGGGGTAAGAAACTTGTCCTAGGGAAACAAAGTTAGTAAATGGTAGAGCTGGGATTCGGCCCTAGATCTGACTCCAAAACCTACCATTTCCTGTTCTGTCCTTTTTTGACTGGCCATGGGTAACAATTGTGGTGAATTCACTCTGGGCATTCTGTTTTGTATAGTGGTCTCGTGTAAGTGTGACCTGTTGTGCCCCCTATAATTAAAAGGTTTTATTTATTGTTTTTTGGTTTTTTTGAGACAGAGTCTCGCTTTGTTGCCCAGGCTAGAGTGAGTGCCATGGCGTCAGCCTAGCTCACAGCAACCTCAAACCCCTGGGCTCAAGCAATCCTCCTACCTCAGCCTCCCGAGTAGCTGGGACTATAGGCATGTGCCACCATGCCTGGCTAATTTTTTTTTTTCTATATATATGAGTTGGCCAATTAATTTCTTTCTATTTATAGTAGAGACGGGGTCTCGCTCTTGCTCTTGCTGAGGCTGGTTTCGAACTCCTGACCTCGAGCAATCCACCCGCCTCGGCCTCCCAGAGTGCTAGGATTACAGGCGTGAGCCATGATTAAAAGTTTTGATTAGGGAAAAACAAGTAGTTCAGTATGTCTAGAGTGTCACAGGATAGGAGATAAGGAGTGATGGCAGATTCTGGGAATAAAGAGACCAGCCAGGTCCAGTGCAGACCAGTGAGGGATGGAGAGGAAGGGATAGATTCCTGACATGAGGCGACTTTGAACGCAATGGTTAAAGACTCCTGATGTCAGGACTGAAGCTAAGGAACCCAGAAACACAGAGGCTTTTTGTAGGAAATAGGATGATGATTTATTTCAGTGTTTGAAGCAAATGATCAGATTATAGGGCCAAGCTCTTGTATCTAGTTTATTTTACCCCCCCTGTTCTTTTTTTGCCCCCAATTCAGTTATTCAGTGAAGTGGTGGTGGGGTCTTAACCTTTTTTATTTTAAAATAACAATGGAAATAGAGGTAATTTGAGGTTAGGCTTCATGGAGAAGTCCCAATGAAAGAGGGTCTTGCTCTGTTTCCCAGGCTGAAGTACAGTGGTGCGATCATAGCTTATTGCAGCCTGGGACTCCTGGGCTTAAATGAGCCTCCTGCCTAAGCCTCCCAAGTAGCTGAGGCTACAGGCGCATGCCACCAAGCCCAACTAATTTTTTTTTTTAAGAGATAGGGTCTCACTGTGTTGCCCAGGCTGGTCTCAAACTCCTGGTCTCAAGTGATCCTCCTGACTCGGTCTCCCAAAGTGCTGGGATTATAGGCATGAGCCACTGTGCCTGGCCAAGGTCAGCCTTACAGGTTTGCGGGTATGGAATTGAACTGGGCAGGTCATAATCTTTATGAGTTCACCCAGGGTGCTCAAACTCTGAAAAATCAGGTCACGTGAACTTAACTCACTACCACATCTTTCACTTTAATGGGAGGTATATCCATCCAGTGGCTAGAATGTTTGTGCCTGGTATCCAGGGCTCTCCCTTCCTTCCAGGTATCACAGAACCTGGGATACCAAATTGCTCTTAAGAAAATTTCTTAGTCAACATAGACTCAGATTAGTGGAAGATTTCACTTAGGTGTTAAATTGGAGAAATTTTCCACCTTCTCTGTTGAGTATACTTTTCTAGTGACTGAAATATACTTGCATTCCCAGGTATAGGGTCTCTCTCTCTCTTGGACATGGTAGAACAACACTCAGAACTTCTTAGATTGTCTTCTCACTCCCTAAAGCCTGCTACTCTCCACCTGTGATGTTACATGTTAAGCTTATGTTACAACTGGTTACATTTTAGTCTTCTTGATATTTGAGAGAGAGTCTTTGCTGAAGACCCAGGCCATAAACCTTAGTTCCATTAATAAAGACTATTGCAATTCAATTAGCTGACTAATATCCATTTTGTACCGAACCCAGTAACTCCAGTGTCACAGGGCATTCTTTTTGACCTTATTCAAGAGAAAAATGTGCTTTAATTGGCTCTTGTATCCTCTATGTTCAACAGCAAATTGCTATTTGGATCATTCTATATGGGGTAAAAAATAATGTTCATTTCATTCTCACCACTGAGGGTTTTATAACCCTGTATAGAGTCTGAAGAAATGCCAAATTCAATTTAAATTTAATTCAATTTAAATAGGCTGATTGGAAATTATTTTGATTTTGTATTATGAGAATGTTTGTGTTTTCTCCAAGGGCTAACCTAAGATTTTTTTTCCTTGTTTCATTTGCATTAGTTTCTTATGGTGTTATTTGCAGAAGCATTTACATCTTTTTTAACCTCTTCCTTTCTCTCCTGTGGTTTTTCTATATTTAGGTGAAAGAAATCACCCGCGACATTAAGCAGTTAGATCATGCCAAACGCCACCTGACCACCTCAATCACAACACTGAACCACCTGCACATGTTGGCCGGTGGCGTCGATTCCCTGGAGTAAGCAATGTAAACTTTCCCCTTTGAGTCCACAAGAAATGTGTCACATAAAGAAAATGGCATCATAGGTTTATGCACTTCAACCAGGGAAGTCTCACCATCCTGCCGCACTTTCTGCAAACTGGCCTTGAGTGTTCAGTACCATTTTTGCTTTGTGCCCTCTGGTGTTCAGAACTTAACAGACACATTAAGCTTTGAAGTGAGGTGCCTCAGACTCAGCTCTGAGTCTGCAGGAGTCCCAGAAAGCCTATGAGAATGACTCCAAGAATATGGACCAATTTCGTGTAGTAGATCTACACCATTAAGGCATACAAGGTGATTCGGGCCCATAATCACTTCCTGTAGCCTCTGCCTTAACAAGTCTTCCTGCTTGTATTGGGCTGAGTTGCAGTGTCCTTGAAGAGACCATGTGAAAACATCTTCAATTTGTCATTCAACCCACTTTTTTTAAACCCATTTTTTCAAAGGCGATAGCTTCCTTTTTGGCTTATACAGGGAACTATACGTGAGAATGTTAGAAATAGTATTAAAAGGAAGAGCTGGTTATTTATCACAAAGCAGCAATCCAAAGCTTCCTTTGTTAGGAAGATTCTGCCATTCCAGTTCACCGCTGTGGTCTGTCTCAGGCTGGGGATTGCCCCTGCCCCAGCCTCAGTGTTATTCCACGTGTGAATAGAGTAAGAGTATCTCCAGGGAAACTGAGAAACAGTATCCAAAGTCTTGGGAGAGGAGAGAGGGGAGAACGCATTGAAGGGGAGCAGAGGAGTGGACAGGCTCCCTCCTGATCTCTCCTAGGTGTCGCATGAGCTCCAGGGCATCCGTTCTCCTGTGAGCAGTGAGAGCAATGGCCAGCGGGAGACCAGAAGAGCAGTCTCCTTGTTCCTGCTCCAGTTGCTCAGTGTTGAACACCAAATTGTCAGACCAGGCAGTGGTAACAACATAACACCTTGGCTTGAACTTACTCCTGTCTTTTTCAATGCCTCTTAAGGGAAATAATAATAATTTTTTTTTTTTGACGCAGAGTTCGCTGTGTTCCCAGGCTAAGAGTCGGTGTGTGGTGTCACCTAGCTCACAGCCCAACACTCCTGGGCTCAAGCGATCGTCCCTGCCTCAGCCTCCGAGTAGCTGGGACTAAGACACGCGCACACTGCCCAGTTAATTTTTTGTATATATTTTAGTTGTCCAATTAATTTCTTTCTATTTTTAGTAGACAGGGTCTCACTCTTGCTCAGGCTGGTTTTGAACTCCTGACCTTGAGCAATCCACCTGCCTTGGCCTCCCAGAGTACTAGGATTACAGGCATGAGCCACTGCGCCCGCCAATAATTATTATAAATTAAAAAAAAAAAACCCAACCCTAATGAAAAATTTAGATCTAATAGTTTTACTTCCTCCCTATAACTGTTGATTTTTGTCATCATCCTTTTATTTAAGCTTCATTTACCTTAGCAACAAGGCAAGCAGACATCTCTGACACAGAGTGGCTTATCATTGCCTTAAAACCTACAGATTTGAGTTAACATGTATGCCCTAGAGAGTTAATATGTATATGCATATAAATGCCCTAGAAAGATGTGTTTGGTTTGCCCAAATGTTATAATCCTCAGATGGTAACATCCCTACCCCTGTTCTCTGCCAAGAGCCTGCTAATTCCATAATACCCAACCTAAGTCCATGAAGTCTTCCCCAGATTCCCCTCCCCCAACCCAATGAGAATTCATCACTCACACATTCGTTTGGAGCCCCCATAGCACATAACTTGTACTTCTGTATAGAACATAGTTCATCTGCTTGGTATTAGGTGTGTAGTTAGTTGACTGTCCCTCACTGAATAATGTCACCTTGTGGATTTGGATCAGGTCTTGCACAGCACCATACATATTCAGTGCTCAGTGAAAGTTTATTAAATTGAGTTGATGTCTGTGTTAGAGGTAGAGTAGGTCATTCCATACCTTTATCTTGTGTCTTTAGTGTTTTTCTAGGGTTTTCAACTTCTTATTTCCTTGCAGAGCCATGACCAGGCGAAGACAGTATGGAGAAGTTGCTAATCTCCTTCAGGGTGTCATGAATGTCCTAGAGCACTTCCACAAGTATATGGGAATTCCACAGATCCGGCAGCTTTCTGAAAGGTAAAATGTCACTGGAGAAAAATGTTTTTCCCTTAAGAAAAGATGGTGCTGGGAAGTGCCTATGCATTTAGCTCAGCATGTTCATTATACAATCTTATTGTAAGAAGGGACATTGTCTGCATTTGTGAGCGAAACGGTTCTAGTTATCTATTTCCTGGTAACAAACCACCATAAAACTTAGCAGCTTAAAATGATAATTATTTTGCTCATATAATTTGGCCTGGCTCAGTGGAAATAGCTTGCATAAGCTGAGGCAGCTCGAGAGGGGGCCTTTGCTCACTCTTGTGGCTGGCAGGTTCGTGCTAGCTGTCAGGTGGGAGCTCAGCCAGCCTATGGGCTGGGATCCTTTGTTATCCTCTGTGGGCTGCTTGGACTTCCTCATGGTAAGGTGACTGGGTTCCAAAAATGAGCATCCCAAGAGAACTGGGCTTGGAAATCACATAGCATAAAATCACAAGGCTATAATCACAAGGCTGCTAAGATTCCAGAAGAAGGAGCATAGTCTTCCCCATCCCCTAATGGGAGTAGTGTCAAAGTCACATTGGTACAAAGAACATGTGCAATGGCATATATTGCTGTGAAATTCTTTGGAAAAATATAATGAGCCACTAGAACTTCAGATATGACAAAAGATGACTTTCTCTCTAACCTTATTCTTTTCTTCCTACTATTTTTTTTTTTTTTTTTAAAGAAACAGGGTCTCATCATATTGCCCAGGCTTGTCTCAAACTCCTGGGCTTAAGCAGTGTTCAGTGAATGTTTATTAAGTTGAGTTGATATCTGTTTTAGGGATAGAGCAGGTTGTTCCATATCTGTATCTTGTGTCCTTAGTGTTTTTCTAGAGTTTTCAACTTCTTATTTCCTTGCAGAGCCATGGCCAGGTGAAGACAGTATGAAGAAATTGCTAAACTCCGTCAGGGTGTAATGAATGTAATGAGTAGCTGGGACTATAGGCATGCACCACCACACCTGGCATGCCTTCCTAATACCGTTGAGGTTTAGTCTTAGATTTGGATCCAGTGGAAAGAAAGTCAAATGCTTAGAGAGAAGGAAGATTAGGATTCTGAAGGATGATGAGGGATGGTGAATTCAGTGACTTTTCTATTAGAAACAGGAGCAAAGAGAACACTGAGAACACAGAGACAATCACCACTGACAAAACCTAACGGCCTTCCTTGCAGTGAAGAAGAAACGAAGGGGCTAAGTACTTAGCAGCAGCCATCATTTTCCACTCTGCCTTCCTAATAAGGCCTCACTGCTACAGGCTTCTTTTTTCTTAAGTTTCTTTATTTGTAGTTATACAAGTAATACATACATACATTTTCTTTTGTTTAAAAAAGTCGCATATACAGATGAAACTTAAGTTCCCTTAAGTTTGAGCTATACCTCAAATTCCATTGTTCTCCCTGGAGGTAGAACGCCATTAAATGGATATCTCCCTAGACTTCTGTCTGTGCATTTGCATAAATCTATAGTTTCAGTTAATGGTTTTGTTTTGCTTTGTTTTGTTTTATAAATAAATGGTTTCATACCATATGCTTTCTTCTGAAACTTGTTTTTTGTTTTCAACCTAGCAATGTATTTCAGAGATGTTTTTCCACATTCTATTTAATTGATGCATAGAATTCTGTAGAATAACATACCACAGATTATTTATCCATTTTGCTAGCACTAGATTGTTTCTAATTTTTAAAATATATCCCCTTTGCACATAGGCAGATATTTCTCTAGGGTAGATTCTAAATCATAGGGTTATATACCTTTAAAAAAAATTTTTTTTTTTTTGAGACAGAGTCTCACTTTGTTGCCCAGACTAGAGTGAGTTCCATGGTGTCAGCCTAGCTCACAGCAACCTCAGACTCCTGGGATCAAGCAATCTTCCTGCCTCAGCCTCCCGAGTAGCTGGAACTACAGGCATGTGCCACCATGGCCAGCTAATTTTTTCTATATATATTAGTTGGCCAATTAATTTCTTTCTATTTATAGTAGAGACGGGGTCTCACTCTTGCTCAGGTTGGTATCGAACCCCTGAGCTAAAACGATCCGCCCGCCTCCGCCTCCCAGAGAGCTAGGATTACAGGTGTGAGCCACCGCGCCCAGCCTATACTTTAAAAATTTTAATAACTACTGTCTATTTGCCCTCCAAAGAAGCTTTATGTACCTATAGCACCATCTGTACAGTATGTGAATGACCCATTTCTCCACACCCTCAACAACACTCGATATTGTCGTTTTTCATTTTTATTTATCTGATGGATGCAAAATGGTATCCAGTTCCTTTAATTTTCATTTCCCTGGTAACTAGTGAGATTAGTATTTTTTTCCATTAATGATTAGGCATTTACATTTCCTCTGCAAAGTGTCTGTTTATATCCTTTGCCTATTTGTCTATTGAGTTATCCCTTTCTTATTGAATTGTAGGAATTATCTGTATATTCTGGATATTAATCCTTTGTCAGATCTAGGTGGCTTTTGTCTGTAAAACCATCTGGGTAATGTTACCTGTTTTAAAGGCAAATCTTTGACTATCCTTTCAATTTTTTCTATGGTAATTAGTCTATTCAGATTTCCTACTTTTTAAAATTTTATAATTATGGTAAAATATATATAACCTAAAATTTACTATTTTAACGATTTTAAAATGTGTGAAACAGCAATATATTTGCATTGTTGTGCATCTATTGCCGCTATCCATTTCCAGAACTTTTTCATCATCCCAAACAGAGTATGTTCCCATTAAATAATAACTCCCCATGTCCTCCTCTCCCCAGATCCTTGTAAACTCTGTCCTACTTTGTGTCTCTATGAATTTGCCTATTCTTGGTCCCTTGTGGAATCAAACAATATTTGTCCTTTTGTGTCTGGCTTATTTCATTTAATATTTTCAAGGTTCATCCATGTTCTACCATGTATCAGAATGTTATTCCTTTTTAAGGCCGAATATTGCATTGTATGTATGTAACACATTGTGTTTATCCATTCATGTATTGATGGACATTTGGGTTGTTTCCACCTTTTAGCTATTGTATGATAGAATAGACACATCTATTGTTTGGCATTCAGTGCTGTCTATTAAAGACATGAAGTCAATCTGGTTGTAACTCCCTTACAAGATAACCTATTTTTCTTTGGTTTTCTTTTGCTCTGGAAGCATTTGAAATTTGGGGGCTGGAGGAAGTCAGGAATTTTACTAGGACATAGGTCATTTTTATTTGTGATGCCCTGTTCTTATTATATTCTTAAAGACTCATGAATTTCTTAAGTTCTAAGATATGATTCTCTTGTGTTCCTTTCTTTGAGTAGTCTCTATGATTTGTCCCCTCTATTCTCTTATTATGGAATTCTTCCTACATGAATATTGGGGCTTCTAGATCTGCTACCATGTCTCTTAATTTTTCTTTCATACTTTCCATCTCTTTGTCCTTTTGGGCTGCTTTCTGAAAGAATTCTTCAACTCAGTCTTCCTGTTTTAATTTATTCTTCACCTGTGCCCATTCTGCTATTTGGCCTAGCTGTTGAATTTTTATTTTAACAGTCTAGCTTTTCAATTTCTAAGATATCTAGCTGATTCTTTTTTCATGGGCATAATATACTCTTTTTGTGTGTGTGTGTGTGTGTGTGTTTTGAGACAGTCTCACTTTGTTGCCTGGGCTAGAGTGCTGTGGCATCAGCCTAGCTCACAGCAAACTCAAACTCCTGGGCTCAAGCGATCCTCCTGCTTCATCCTCCCTAGTAGCTGGGACTACAGGCATGTGCCACCATGCCTGGCTAATTTTTTCTATGTATTTTTAGTTGTCTAGCTAATTTCTTTCTATTTTTTTTTTTTTTTTGGTAGAGATGGGGTCTCGCTCTTGCTCGGGCTGGTCTTGAACTCCTGAGCTCAAACGATCCGCCCGCCTCGGCCTCCCAGAGTGCTAGGATTACAGGCGTGAGCATAATATACTCTTAAATCTTTCTGAGAATATAAATTATATGTATTTTAAAGCTCTGAGTTGCCTGTTTTATTTCTTGTCCTCCGTTGTAAGGTCTTCAGTTTGTTGAGTATGGTGACTCGCTTTCTCGATATTAGCGTTCTTCAAATGTTTGGTGATTCCTAGCTGAAAGCTCATTTTTGTTGTTGATATTCTGTTAGTCTGATCAGGCATGCTCTTTTACTGCTCTCTGCTCATGGGGGAGAGGTGAGACTTGCTACTTGGCTAAGTGTATCACAGACAGTGCTTCTAACAGTGAGGCAGGGCCTTACCTAGAAGAACCTACCAGGTGGGTATGCTAGCGGCTGATCTCCTGGGCCTGGAGGCTCCTTGATCTTCCTGGGTGTTGTCAGCCCTCTGTCCTCTGCTGAGGTTCTCAGACCCATGGGCCACACCTGCTGAGCATTCAAGGTACAGATGCAGACGTGGACACTGGCTTAGTCACTCCTATTGCAGGGATCCAGCGAATCCCACTGGGCTCTCCTTCTGCTCCTGGTATCTGTTACCATTATATCTTTCATTTTTGAGAAGCATTTTTGTGCAGTGATTTCCTTGTTTAAGCCTGTGCTCCCAGGGGTTCCTCAGAGTTTCCAGTCTACCACTTCTTTTCTTGCGTGGTTCTGGATTTTTATTATAATAAAATCTTTTCATTATTTCTGAGGATCTGGGGCAGGAATGGGAGGTTGCAGTACGTGCTCAGCATGCCATCTTATAGTGGAAATGCCAAAGAACTATTAAGGAATGTTGGAACAGAGCTTGGCAGGGTGCGAGGGAAGTCACCACCCTTTCCCTCATCCTTCCTAACCCCTTCACACTTAGAGCTGGCCAATTGCCATATCAGACTGGGAATGTGACATAGCCAAGAAGGCAGACAAATGGGACTTTATGATCTGCAAGAGAGAAGGAAGCTTGGATGGAGCAGGCAGACTTGTTCTCAGGGGATGGGGAAGAAGTAGGAGGCCAGTGTCTTCTACCCCTACTCTTGTGATAAACCAGAGTTGATCTGTTTTTCACATTCATTTACTCTTT